AGCTGAAAACCGCAAAGAAGATATCGCATCAGAGGCTGCTGTTGAACGGGATTCCCAGTGACAGAGAACCGCCGGTGTACGGGGTTCTGAGCGGCTCAGACTGCGAAACAATATTTGAAGGCAGGATGTAACCTGTATGAACTGACTGCACAGATGAAGTTTCAGGTGGACTTTCTCACTTAAATACATATTAAAACTACTTTTTACCCACTGATCACAGCAAATACAGGTCCTTCTCAAAATGTTAGCATATTGTGATAAGTTCGTTATTTTCCATAATGTAATGATAATGCTTAAACATTCATATATTTTAGATTCATTGCACACTAATTGAAATATTTCAGGTCTTTTATTGTCTTAATACAATTGATTTTTGACATTCAGCTCATGAAAACCCAAAATTCCTATCTCACAAAATTAGCATATTTCAGTCATTTCCTTTTGCAGAAATGACTGCTTCAATGCAGCGTGGCATGGCGGCAATCAGCCTGTGGCACTGCTGAGGTGTTATGGAGGCCCAGGATGCTTCGATAGCCGCCTTTAGCTCATCCAGTGTGTTGGGTGTTGCGTAAAATTTGAACTTTATCACAATATGCTAATATTTTGAGAAGGACCTGTATAGCCGCCATTGTTACAGGCAAAGAAAGGATAGGGTAGCTCCGCCCAACGTGCATCAGACCAACTTTTTAGCAACGATGCTTCAGCAACGTGTCAGAACTAAACTTGTACAAGCATCAGAAATGTAGCAGCCCCCGCGTTTTTGCTGCTCCTGCTGTGCGCGGTCAGAACGTAGCATAAATGTCTGCCTAGAAGCATTTGAGGTCCCCTTTGAAGCCTCTTAGCTAATCAAAAGGCACCCTGATACAGCCTTGTTCTTCCTCTCCCAGCAGGGGGCACTGATGTGGCACCACCCGGTTTTGGCTCAGAGTCGGCCAGCAGCCGAGCGTGGAGGGAACTGGCCGGCTCTCTCTGCGCCGTGGCCAGCGTCAGTCCGGGTGAGAACAGCCGTCACCGTGGCAACCACCAGCAGGACTACCAGAGCAGCGGGGACGAGGACGGCGAGGACGACTACATGGCGGCGGCGGAGGCGGCCATCGCAGCGCTGGGCAGTAGGGTGGACTCCCGCTGCCGGAGCTTCAGGGACTGCAAACCTCTGCTCATCCATAACTGGTCTGGGACGGCCTCCAGGGAGTTCCGCAGGGCTCCTGTTCAGGTAAGGAAAGGTTTGGGAAAATGGGTGGAAGCTTCCGGAGAAGGCTGGTGTGTCTGCAAGCAGAGAAATTCCTCTGAAGCCGTTCCCTCCCTGTCTCCAGTCTCCTCTGGACGAACCGGTGGTTCTGACAGACGAAGTCATCTTCCCACTCACCGTCTCTCTGGACAAACTTCCTGTCAACACCCTGAAGGTGAAGGTGAGGAGAAGCTCCTGCTGCTCAGACCCGCCAGGTTTCCTCTGTTTGTCTGCTCGGAGTTTCATGGTGATTTCTGCTGCAGGTCATGGTGACGGTGTGGAAGAAGGAAGCCGAGAAGGTGGAGGTCCAGGAGCTGGGATACCTGAGCGTCCTGCAGCAGAGAGAACCGAGCCACACCTTCAGACACGACCTGAACACCTTCAAAGCTCAGGGTAGGACGCCCTCCTGACTTCTGCTTGTAGTAGAACTCCTCCCCAGCGATAAAAAAAAAACTCACCCGACCTTCATGAGGAGCAGCTCTGAGATCAGTTCTCTCTGATCAGCCAGGGTCAAAAGTATTCATACACATTTAATCAGTTCCTGAAAGTTCTGGAAGGACCTCCATCCTGCTGAGGCCCGTTAACCTTTGGTTAGTGTCGATATCGGCCAGAATACCAGCAGACCGCCCTCAGGGGCCGCTGACCCAAACAGAAGTTCTTTCTTCAGAACCAACACCTACAAGCTTGACCTGCAGCTGCTAACAGACAATCAGGACTGAGCTGGTAGCCGATGGAGTCCAGAACATTGGAGCAGCTATCAGGCACGGAGGAGGCAGCATCATGCTGTGGTGCTATTTCCTCCAGTATGTTTGGTTCTAAGGTCTAATTCCTGCTTCAGTTGGACCTTCAGGATGTAGAGAAGCCGCTCATGGAGGCGGGTCCAATCAGGCTCTGGATCATTTTCCTGCAGCCTTACTTTTAGTTGCAGTACCGGGTTTAGACACAGGTGGCAGTGTTTTACTGAGTGAAGCTGATTGATTGGTGGCTTGTTTAACCCCTTAGCTCCCACCCCCAGGATGTTTTGACATCAAATATTTGATTTCATATCAAGCAGCAAGCTTATTTATAAACAAAACCCAACATGTTGTAGCTCAGGCGATTCCTAAGAAAATGTTAATTAACTCAACTGTAAGGCAACTATACTAAACAAACACAGATAACTGATAATCCGTCAGAAATTTACAACTCATAATTTTCACTTTCCTACTTCTTTTTCATCTTCATCTTCCTTTCATCATCTTTCTTCTCCTATCCTTGCAAAAAATTGGCTCATTTTGTCCGTAACACTCCACAGAAAAGTAATATCCACTTTTATTTACCATAAAATAAACCCCTTTTGTCGTAATAATCCACGAAAGCTCTTTTTTTTTCTGTGGAAAAGTGAAAATATCAGCAAAAAAAAAGCAGATTTTTTTTGTGTCTTAAGAAGTATGTCCCCCCCTTTTAGTTTATCTACATTATGTTGGCTTATTCACCAATCTGTTTGCTCCTAAAGTTCTGTTCTTAGTATCCAGGATACATCAGAAACTTCCTGCACCTAAGAAACTGCAAACTTTAATTGATGTATTTAGACTTAGACAGATTTATTTTGTGTAATTTTGTATATATAAGTGTAAACACAAAGAAATTTCGTCTAGAACAGCTCTCTAGACAATTTAATGTTTTAGTCAACAGGCAAAGCTTTTCCATGAAGTATTGGAAGTTTAGTGAGGGGCTGAAAAGATGGTGCTTATTGATGCGCATAAGGAGGGAGAGGAGAAATAACTTTCTCTAAATAATTCTGAAAGCTGAACATTTTAAATATTATAAAGGAAAGTGCCTGAATGAATTGTATAAAGCTAGAAATGTTTTTTTTTTATGGTCAAATTTGTCATAAAATTCAAATAATTCAATTTTGGTTCTAATTGGGATCAAATGTGCTGAATGGACATTTTCTTTACAAAAAGTGTCACAGTTCCACAATGCTTATGACTAGAGATCTGAACTTTTACACAGTTATTAACAACATGAGCAACAAGTGTAGCGACTATGAATTATACCCAGAATATAGGGGGTCCGAATAAAAAAATTATCAACCAGTAAAGCTCCGGAGACATTTTTAATTATAATCTGTTACTTTAAACAGAATTTAACACTGAAATGAAATTAGGTTTTTAAGTAGAGAACACAATCGTTCAGTTGGTATATAGAAAATTTCATGACTCACTTTTTTTTTTATAACGCCTGAACTGACCGTTTGTTATTGTTTTTCTTTTTTCTGTCTTAATGTTCGCGGTGGGCTTTATGCTGCCCTGCCAGGCTTTAAACCTGGGTTTAATGGAGACAAAGTGATTCTAAAGCACAGATCAAGGAGCTCATTCTGAGCCTGGATCCAGATTTATGTTTGATTCTGTTCATGGTGGAGAATCCTGCTTCACAGCAGCAGGTTGAGCCAAACATCCTCTAAATGTGCAGGGTCATCTTTGAGCACCATTTCACTTTTCTTTCACCAGTTCACCACAGTTCTTCCAGCAGTCCACACTTTCTCTGCTTTCTTTTTCTCATCGAAGTAAGACACTGTCGTCGAACAACATGTGGTAATTTGTAAAGTTTTTCAATCAGGTTGGGTCCAGATGAGCCAGCAGGTGGGTCAGGATCCGGGCCGTGGTCCGCTAATTCGTGACCTCAGATCTAAGCTTTTAAATGGGACAAATCACAAGCATTTGGGATTTATAATATAATTTTAAGGGCCGATGGCGTTTGGTTATGCAATTGGTTTGTGCTATAAAATGGTGTTAACTGAGGGGTTAAAGGGGAACGCCATTTTTTTTTACATTGGGCCCTTGATTTTACGTTATTACATCATGTTCTACTCACCCATATGAGTTTTGTGTCATTTGGAGCTGTCCTGAAGATATTCTGTTAGGTTATATCCAAGTAACGTCTTCCTATGGGCAACAAATTGAAGGCACAAACTAATTGTTCATAATTTATTCTTTATGGTACGCCAGCATTTATAACATGTAGGCGAATCACTGTCCCCCAGACATCCACGGTTATAGTTTTTTATAATAATATCTTTTAAAAACGAAGGGGAGTGTGCATGAAGTCATCCGCGCACGCCGGAACGCCAGAACAGCTCCAAATGACACAAAACTCATATGGGTGAGTAGAACATGATGTAATAACGTAAAATCAAGGGCCCAATGTAAAAAAAAAAAACGTTGTTCCCCTTTAATGTGTGTGTTTCTGAGTTCTGACAGAACTGAGATTCTGGTCTGTTTGTCCACAGTGAGCACCACCCTGACCGTCCTGCCGCCTCCAACCGTCCGCTGCAAACAGATGACCGTCTCAGGGAAGCACATCGCCGTCCTCAAAGGTTGGCTCCTGCTCCTTCATCCAAACATCAGCTGCTTTCATTATTTTACAAACTCAGCAGTTTCAGGGACAGAACCACTAAAGTTTCCACACCACTGAACTCTTTCAACTTTTCAACTTTAAACATTGAGGAAGTTTGTTGAAAATATAACAAGAAAAACAACCCCTGAACACAGCGAGACACGTCGGTGGCAGCATCATGCTGTGGGTAGATGGGCGGGACTATATCAGAACACCTGCTAGTCTAATCAAAGTCCAGATGACCTGGGGTCAGACCTGATGTTCTCTCACTGGTTTCCGTCTGTTTTCCTCCCAGTCCTGAATGAATCTTCCCAGGAGGAGCTGAGCATCAGAGACGTCCGGATTCTACCCAACCTGAACGCCTCCTACCTTCCCATGATGCCGGACGGCTCCGTCCTGCTGGTGGACAACGTCTGGTACGTACCTGGTTCTCCGCTGCTCCCCGTTCACAGTCTGCAGCTGGAGAAGCCGCCGTGCCTCACGTGTTCCTCTCCTGCCTCCAGCCATCAGTCCGGTGAGATCGGCATGGCGTCCTTCTGCCGAGTGGACAGCAAGGCCTGCCGACTTCCCAGCATGCTCGGCGCTCTGGAGGAGCACGACTTCCTGTTCCAGCTGCACCTGAACGATGTTCCGCAGGACGACTCTAACGAGGTTCATTCCTCTCTCCTTCAGACGTTTGTTTTATTGGTAGAAACTGAAGGAAAGTTTTCAGGATAAACTGCAAAAACAATCTAGAAAAAAGTAAAAATGGCTTAAATTAAGTGTGTTTACCCTTAATTAGAGAAGGTAAATAAGATGATTTGCCAATGCAATGAGCATTTTTACTCTTAAAATAAGGTAATTGGATAATATACACCTGAAATAAGACAATGAAATATATATTTTTTCTTATTTTAGATATAAATTGTCTTGTTCCATTGGCAAAGTGTCTCACATACAGTACTGTACTCAATGCGCTTAAAAAAAATGCACCTATTTTAAGAAAAAATGACTTATTTAGAGTTTGATTGTTCCAGAGTGAAGATGATCCCACAGATTTAAAATGTTCCTTCCTCTATTAGAACATAGCAGCATCAGTCACAGCAGAAGGTTCTGGAAGACATTTAAAAACAGTACACACAGATTTAGGAGGAAACATGAAGCAAACAGATAAAAGAATCCAAAGTAAAGAAGAAATAAATCCTGGGAATTAAATGTTTGGCCGATCTGACAGACTGAAAGCAGACAGGTTTCTGGGTCCGACTCAGAAGGTTCTAAGTCTGGGTTCTCTTGTGCTTTTCAGGGTTTGGAGGTTCCTCTGGTCGCGGTGCTGCAGTGGTCCACTCCCAAGATGCCTTTCACCAACTGTATCTACACCCACTACAGGTGAACGCAGACCGTCTGAAACAAAGAGGTCCAAACATCTACAGCACCATCAGAACCTGGTTCTGAACACTGATGGTGGTTTCAACATGCTGATGAATGTTCTCAGTCATTCAGGTCTCAGTCATTCCCAAAAAAGTTTTAAAAAGTCCACTGGACTTTGTTTCCAAATGTGAAGACTAAATAGCGTTGAGTTTGATGCTTGGCAAAGCCTTTAGAAAACATGCAAATTGAAACGGACCAACGGTCCACCTCTTTGGAATGGGGGGAAGCCAGATGACCCTCATTCCAAAGGGGTGGACTCGTTAGTTTCATTGCTACCCACGACACCGCTCCCAGGATTATTTATTTTTTTGCTTTAATTCCTGGGTCCTGGTTGCAGCTGCAGACCACAGCCTGTAAATAGCCACTAGTTTGCCCCCCAGTCCTCTCAAAGCTCCAGCTATGTCTGTTGGTTGAGCTCTTCTCCTTCCACTCAACTTTCCATTAATAGCTTGGGTGCAGCACGCTGTGAACAGTGTGGAGCTCAACTCACACTGTGTCAACAGTAAGGGACATTTATCAATTATAAATTATTGCTCTTTTTAATCTTTTGATTATTTTCTGATTTACTGATATTCAGCTGCAATGTTACTTGTTAACAACTAGATGGCGCTGTAAACCAGCGTCCCATCAATGAACCGCAGGCTCAATTTATTCCAGTCAGGTTTCAGTTCTCATCTAAGAAACACAATGAGTCAAAACTGCAAAATTAAAATCCATAAAAGACAGAAAATTTTACTTTTTCCTTAAATCCACTTTTTTTTCACTCCTGAATAGGAAATTAGTTTAATTTTTAGCTTGGGTTCGATTCCCAGCCCTGGGTCTTTCTGCATGGAGTTTGTATGTTCTCCCTGTGCATGCGTGGGTTCTCTCCAGGTACTCCGGCTTCCTCCAACAGTCCAAAAACATGACTGTTAGGTTAATTGGCTTCTCTACAGTCCCCTAAGTGTGAGTGTGTGTGTGAATGGTTGTTTGTCTCTGTGTTACCCTGTGATGGACTGGCGACCTGTCCAGGGTGTACCCCGCCTTTCGCCCATTGACTCCTGGAAATAGGGACAGGCACCCCTCGCGACCCCACTCGGGATAAGCGTGTTAGAAAATGGACGGATGGCTGGCTTTCTGAGAGTTCCTGGCTCAGTTGTTGGTTCTTGTTCCTAAAAACCAAAGCTGATGAAGTCTGCAGACGCTCTACCCCAGTGACGGCTGGAGGCAGACCTCCGGGCCGCAGCATGGTGGCGATGTTTCTACATGTCAGCAGCTCTGTAACTCAGCTTTCCTCCACCAGGTTACCCAGCATCCGTCTGGATCGGCCCCGGTTCGTCATGACCGCCAGCTGTCCCAGCGCCGTCAGAGTCAAGGAGCACTTCAAGGTCAAATACGTTCTGATCAACAACCTGCAGGATTTCCTGGCCGTCCGGCTCGTCTGGACCCCCGAAGGTTAGTTCCTGCAGCAGTTCCACTGTAGTTCCTACGTTGGAACATTTTAGGACCTCCTCAGGAAAAATGTGTTGGAGTAGATTCATCAGGTCTCAGGAAAAAGACTTTGATTTTTATATATATATTATTGATTTTAACAAAGCTACGTTTTTGATCAAAAGCATCTGGAAGGAAACGGTCCAGATTAGCCTTTGTTGCCATTTATTTCCCATGAATCATTGCGAGTCAAAGCAGATTGCTCAACTTCAGACAGCAATGGTGGCAAAAATTTTGATTAAATGTGAATGTATTATGATTTCTCTGACCCAAATAAACTTTTAAGATGAGAGTAACGCGAAGCAGGCGGCGGTCCAGGTTGTTTGCACTGAACAGGTTCTGTTTGCTGGAAGTTAGTTTAAATTTTTTCCATTGTTTTTTTTTTTTAAACATTTTCCTTCTTGATCCCAACAGGAAAATGTTCAGCCTAAGTTGCTCTCGCATCAAAACTAAATTCCTGAACAGTTTTGTTCAAATAAAGGACCTGGGGAAGCTTCATGCTTCCTGCTCCTTATCAGAGACAAAATGGAGATTTGCTTCAAGCATTAACTTTTAATTCTAGTCGTGGTTTTTGGAGCCTCAGAACTAGACTGTTCCAAAAACTGAGCTGCTTCTCTGTTAGTAAAAACATTCCCCAAGGAAGCACAGAAAAAGCTTTTTACGGTTCTGTTTGGATCTGATTGTCTAGATTGTCCAGGAAGGAACAGTCTCCGTTCATTTCCTTCGACGTCTCTGTTTTCATAGATGTTTTCCTACTCGAGTTGTTTTTAACACCTGAAACACCAGAGTAAAGTTGTTGATGTGTTTAGGGCGCGGCCGGAGCGAGGACGCCACGCTGGCCGCGGTGGTTTGCCACACGCCACTCAGTAACCTGGGTCACTGTCGCAAAGGAAGCACTCTGTCCTTCAGCGTCTCCTTCCAGATCCTTAAACCTGGGCTGTACGAGGTAGGTGGAGCTCCTGCGGTGAGAAACTGTTCAGGTTTAAACTGGACTGAAAGCCTCTAACTATAAGCTTTATCAAAGAGGAAAGTTTTAAGCTTAGCCTTAAAAGTAGACAGGGTGTCTGCCTCACGGACTAAAACTGGTAGTTGGTTCCACAGGAGAGGAGCCTGATAACTAAAAGATCTGCCTCCCATTCTACTTTTAGAAATTCTAGGAACCATTAGTAAACCTGCAGATTGAGAGTGAAGTGCTCTGTTAGGAACATAAGGAACAATCAGATCTCTGATATCAGATGGAGCTTAATTATTTACTAACTGTTACATTATTAAATAAAATCAACATTCCTTATAGAACTTGTGTGCAAACTCTCAGTCATCAGGGTCATTGGCAACTTCAAACCAGGCTGAAGGTAACCAGATCTTTGCTCCGTTTTCCTGAAAATGTTTCCACACCTAATCAGGTGTTTTTGTCAGGTCTGTCGGTTTGCGTCACAACTATCTGTAATTGGAGCATGCACATGAGTGGGCCTGAAACAATTAATCGGATAAATAGTGATTAATCGATTAGATTAGAGACTCTAAAACAGTTTTTTAGCTGACAGAGCGACCCACTTAGAGCAGTAATTATATCAAAATTTTAAAAAACATTTAAACATTTTGCATTTAAGATTTAAAAAAAAAAAAATTTCGACCATTAATATGCTACATCCAGAAATCTTCTTTAAAGAACCTTTGGCTATCCCATTATTAATCGATTAATATAAAGAAATAATCAACAGATGAATCGATTTTCAAATGAATTATTAGTTACAGCCCTACTTATGATGTTAGACCTCTATGCTGCTTAAAACAGCAGCGCTCCAACCACAGGTGGATCTGGTGGAGCTGACAGAATGACAAAGATCTCTGGATAGGTGTGGAAACATCTAAAAAAAAAAAAAATGAGTGAGAAGCCGGTTCCACAAGGATGAAAGATTGGTTCTCTGATTAACTTGTATCTCATTGCAGTTTGGAGAATCTCTTGTACAGACGTTTTAAGTTCAGTCTGATTACCTGTTTAAATGGACTTTATTCATCATCTGTCTGGTTTCAAGCATCAAGCAGAACCTTTTGCAGAAGCATTGGCATGATCACAGTATGCTGTGCTATAAAAGAAATCAGAGTTTTTTCTGATGGCGCACAGATGTATGTTTAACTTTGTGACTGACTTCTCTGATCCTTGGTTGTCCTAGACTCTTCTAAACCTGATGGTTTTTACATCCTTTTAAATTTCCCAGCTCTGAGTTTCTGATTCTTCTCCTTCTTTTCCTCCAGCTAAGTCAGCACATGAAGTTAAAGCTTCAGTTCACCGCTTCCGTTTCCAACCCTCCCCCTGATGCCCGGCCGCTCTCACGTAAGAATATCTCAATTTGCTGAAAGAGCCAAAACACGCACACACTCCTGTGGAAAAAGTTTTCAGCTCCTGTTTTTGGTAGATATGGTAGATAAGAGTGCTCCCTCAGCGTCGGCGCCTCATGACGCCCTCATGCATAGATCACAATCGCTCTTAGTTAGCAAATACAGAAGGGCCTCTGTGTAGCTTAATTAGTAAAACCAGGAAGTCACTCTCCTGAAAACCTGATGACTATATCACCATCAGAATGTCTATTTGAATGTGCAGATCTGTCATCTAAAATCTATAATTAGAACTTTGAATAAAAGGCTTCCTGTAAGCATATACATGTTCATCCAGAGCTTCATCAACACGCGGGCTACTGATGGATCCGTTTACACCAGGAAAATCACCTCTTGGTGCCAAATCGGCTGTTCAGCTACATAAATCGGACCAACACTCTGATATTTTCATCTCACTCCACCAGTACGCTTCTGACCAGTCTGTTGGATCCCAGCAGTCCCAGTGGTCTGCAGCTGGATGGTGCAGCCAGCTGACCTCTCCACGTTGTGCAGCATTCCAGGATCCAACTCAATTCAATTCAGTTTATTTCTATAGTGCCAAATCCCTACACATGTCAGCTCAAGGCACTTTACAGTTTACCAGATCATCCAGTCTAATTGATTCAAAGTTTTCTATCTAAGGAAAACCAGTTGATTGCAGCGACTCATTGACTCTAATGGAATCCCTCACACTAAACATGCTTGTAGTGACAGTGGAGAGGAAAAACTCCCTTTTAACAGGAAGAAACCTCCAGCAGAACCAGACTCAGTGTGAGCAGCCATCTGCCGAGGCCGACTGGGGTTCAAGGAGACAGAAGCAGAGATACAAAAAGCAGCTGTAAAAGGCGGCTCCAACCAGGAAACACACAGCCAGGCAGACAAGCTCCAAGCCAGCTCCCATGTCAGAGGATGAAGAGAGCACATCCACTCAGTCACGGTCAGAGAAACAGGACTACACTGGAAAACAGGCTGATCTCGAACATCTATAACAAAGGGGTTGATGGCAGCAGCACAGCTGATATTTCTCTCCAGGATGGAGTCACAGCCAAACAGGAAGAGACAAGGTGAAGCTTCTATGAGAAAAGGCAGTGAGAGCATAACATTAGAGATTGAACTAACAGATTCTGCAGAATAGGAGATTAGAGAGAGAATGAAATAGGGGTCCCTATGTCCTCCAGCAGTCTAAGGCTATAGCAGCATAACTATATAGATAGCTCAGGATAACCTGAGCCACTCTAACTATAAGCTTTATCAAAAAGGAAAGTTTTAAGCCTACCGTTAAACTACCCCAACCATTTCGTGAACCTGATCAAATTGTGTCTGAGTTCTCAGAATGGACAGTTTCACAGTGTGGAAGCTGAACTTTTATGCGGAGACACATACCTTGATTTAGTGGGATACAGTATTTATACTTGATGAACCGAGAGACGGAACTCAGTGGAGCTGAAACCAAACATCTGTTTTAACCCCGTAACGCCTGTTGTTGCAAATATGCATCAAACCCTTTTGATTAAGCAAACCGCCAAGATCTGAATTCCCCCGATGCCAGTAAACATTCATGCAGACTTAGACACTTTTATTAAGCACCTGTTTGTGCTACGAATGGTCACTGACGTCTGCACTGACCGTTACTGCCCTCGAAAATTTAGCAGTTCAAATAAATTTCCGTGTTTTTGTAAATAAATAACAAATTATTTTATATATTACTGTATACATTCTGGCTAAAGAGTTTGATCTCAGCTTTTTTGATCTCTTAGTGGAAGTTTCAACTCAGAAACAAAATGTAATTCTCTTGTATCCTCAGGTAAAAACAGCCCGTCCAGCCCAGCCGTGCGAGACCTGCTGGACCGACACCAGGCCAGTCTGGGTCGTTCCCAGTCCTTCTCGCACCAGCAGCCGTCCCGATCGCACATCATGAGGTAAAACATAAGGTCCAGGAGACGGTTCCATCTGTCAGGGAGCGTCTCTAACTGTGTTTTTGGGTGTTTAGGACGGGCAGCGCCATGGAGCGTCGGGCCATCACGCCCCCTGTCGGCTCCCCCGTCGGGCGGCCGCTCTACCTGCCGCCGCAGGACAAAACGCTGCTGTCCGTGGACAAGATCGCCAAGAGGGAATGTAAGGTTCTGGTGGTGGATCCGGTCGGCTAATTTTCACCTGGAAAAAGAACCACAAGACTAAAGTCAAAGATGTGAAACTACTGAGCAGAAGAGACGCTGGCTTCTCAGGAAATATTGATGGAGAAGCGCTTCCACATGAACTGTTGGGAGGAACTGAGTTTAATTATAAAATATTTATTGTTTTAATGTATTTACAGGCAGCATTCCAGGTCCTGAACATTTCCTGATGTTACAGAGTATTAAGCTGTTTGCTTCAGATGACCATGTGTCCCGTTTGGTCCTGATTCAGAGGGAAACTCAGGAAGAGAAGCTGATTCTAGGAAAAAGCCGGGAAATATTTAACCTGCTGAATCTTCAAATCAACATGGTTTCCCTCTGTTTAGCACCAAGCTTCTGCATCGAGCTGGAAAACTTAAAAAGTGTTACCTCATCGTTTCTGTAGTGTTTAACGGTGGAAGACGTTACAGTCAGCCTGAAGGCGGAGGAGTGGCCTCTGGCTTCAGCGCTGCTTCCACCATCATCTGTTTACAATCAGCATCGCTGTCATTCCTCCTCAAGTTACTGAATGTTGAATTGATCTGATCCGAAAAGGCGAAGACACTGGAGTAACCGCTGGACGGGCTGTCACGTTCACTGGAAAATAACTCTCTGCTGTGATCTCCAGAATACAGATTGATGTTTAAAAGTTTCTGAGTGTTTGGTCTCCTCATTAGCTCAACAGAACCTCCTCCTAGAGTCTGACTACAGCCCAGGATCCGACTAATATGAGCATAAACTTCTGTCACCGTCTCAGAAAGCAGGTAACTTCCAGAGTGACAGCTCCCACCTTCTGTTTGATGAAAACTGCAACCCGACTCAGCAGAAGTGAGCGCAGCAAAGAAACCGCCTCATTAAGAAAAGTAGAGGAGATGATTCAGCCATACAGGCTGCTGGTTTTATACAGACAATGCAACAAAAACACACCCCATTTAGCGGCTAACTACTGTTAGCAATATTAGAAAAACACTAATTAGATATATTTTGGGTTTATCCAGAGAGGCAACGTGTCCAGGAGTCTAAACACACTCATGTGTGGATTTAATAAGAACAAACTATCCAAAATGTAAAGAAAAATGGCCGCCGCAGTAGTGATGTTTGACAGACAGGAAGTCATCTGTCCACCACTTCCTGTCCCCCAGATGCTTCAACTGGAGCTACTAATGTTTCTCTTAGAATTTTTTTTTTCTTTTTGCGATCTATTTAAATCAGGTCTATGTGGCTTTATTTTGTTGTTACCGTGCAGATTTGTATATTTTCATGTGAGGTCTGCCTCAGTGCTGCCATCTTTGGGTTGAACAGCAGGTTGAACTTTCCCTTTGGTTCAAAAGGTTTTTGCTAGTACGGGCTTTAACCGTCTTGGCCCCGCCTTCGGGTATAAATACAGCTCGCTCCTACATACGCCTCTGTAGTGAGTCCTTGTTGATGATAAGATGGCATCCAATGCCATGCTGTTCCTGGTTTTTGTTGATGCCCAACGTGAGAAAAAAACTGCACTGTTAATGAAGGGAGGAAAGAGACGAAAAGTCATAAAATGGTGGACAGCTACTTCAATCTGTCTATAATGTTGCCTTCAAAGGAAATAAACCAATAAGTCCTAATCAGTCTGATTATATTTATGTTTAATAACCTGATGTGAGGAACATGTAAACCCACACACTACTTACCTTTGCTGAAATCAGTGGTTCTTCACCTGCTTTGGACCATCCTCCATTATCCAGGTTCCTTAGTGTCCCTCATCAAGTAAGAGGTAGGCTGCCTTCACTTAATGTAATTTAATGTAATAACATTAATTATCGTTATGAAAATAATAATTGAGATATAATTGTCAGTATTGTTTGTGTTAGAATTATCATAGGTTTTTCTGTATTTTCCATCAAAATAATCAAAACGTGCATCTGAATGAGTTTCTTTCTACTTCAGGCAGCCCTAACAGTTGCCAATCAAAATAGCTAAAAATGTATTTTTATACTTTCATTATGAGAACAATTTGCCAATCAGAAACAGCTTATAATCTAATCTATTGCATTCTGATATGAGACAACAACCAATCAGAAATGCCAAATGATAATTCATTCTGATAAAGATAGGATCTGTATCCCGCCACTGTTTTTCCTCTGTTAGTTTTTTTTTCTGTAATATGGGCTGCAATGAGGGTAGTGTTAGCCATAATGAACCTGAAACTACCAAACCCAAGTGACTGTGGTACTCGAATTGTAAGGACCAGTCTGAATCCCTGCGCTGCCAGATGAAAGAATGAAGAAGCACTATGGTTGTCATCAATCTGTCTCTTCCTCCTCACTGCTAAAGCTTTATCCTGTCCCTCTACATGAACCACAATTGACATTAGCTCTGTTAGCAACTACCATCGATAATGATAAATATCATAGGTTTGACCGGCAGAAGCTAAAACCCAAATACAGTATTCAAAACATAACGAATGTGCTGAACACAAACACCATCCCATATGTTACTGGAGTCTCTGAAAAACTCAAGAGGATTTTGTCCAAACACAAAATCCCAGTACAATTTAAACCTAACAAGCCCCTTAAACAGAGACTAGTGCATCCTAAGGACAAAACCCCCCAAACAAAATATGAGCGGAGTGGTGTATGCAGTGCAGTGCAGTGCGGAATGCTCTGATCTCTATATTTTAGAAACCAGACAACCTCTCCACAGACGCATGGCCCGACACATAAGACTCAGGTTTCAGCTTTCAAAAACTTACTATGTAGCAATTGAGTTAATCCAAAGTTGTAACTTTGTGATGAAAGTTGGTGGCGACACTCGGGTGGTGGGTGATGGACCAACAGTTACTCAACCCGAACGCTTTCATAACGAATAACAGCTGATTCCGATGCTAAAATCGGTATATCATGCATCCCTAGAAATACTATTTCAATTCCATCCATCCAGAAAAATATGGATATGCTGCATTTTAAATATAGTATAGCATATTTTTTTCTTGTAAACTTTCTGGTAAACTTGGAGATATATTTTATTGCATGTTGTATATCCCAGTAAATCTGCAGCTCTCCCTACTTCTCTCTGCTCTGTTTAAAAAGATTTATGAACCTTTTTAGTAATTAAATGATGCCAGAAAGTAAATTTCAAGATATGTAGAAGCTCTGCAGTCCGATTCTCTCTGTACGATAAGAAAAGATTTTAACCTGTAACTGGGAGTCATGATCCTCTGAGAAGCCAAGATATTTTTTAACTATTGCGTACATTTACATTCTGTTGCCATTTTAGGACCTTGTCTTTTCAGCCAGGCCAACAATTTCCTTTAACGTTTTGCAGACTAACAAAAGAAACTAAATGACCCCCATTCCAAAGGGGTGGACCCCTTCGTCTGTTCCAATTTGCATGTTTTAAAAACAAAAACAAGGCTTTGTTGAGCTACTGTATTAAACTTAGAACTCAACACTATTCCTAACATTTTGAATTGAAAAAGCTTCCTGGATAGGACGAGAAATTTCTTCAAACTTGGAAACAAAGTCCAGTGGATTGTTTTTGATTTTCTTTTTTTGGAATGACTATGACCTGGATGACTGAGAACCTTCGCCAGCACAAAAGCACAAAGTTGTGTGTATTTTAACAAATAGGCCTTTTATCTTTTTAACTTTCTATTAACTTTCAACCTAAGATCACTTAGTCTGGGAACGGACATGTTTGTCCAAATATAGAAACACCTCACTCCTGTTATCTTCCGGCAATGACGTCATGGTACGGTAAGCCTAGCGCCATTCTCCCGCTTTACAAGCAAAATCTATGGGAACTACTAGACACATCTACAATCAACAACAATTATTAAAGATTTCCAGAGGACTTGAAATTGGACTTGAAATTGGATTGGATAATTGGATTGCAAACTTGAAGAGGGAGGATTTGCCATTGAACTTCTGGCCAGAGAAAAAACATGTCAACAATCAATTACTCTCTGCTTCCCATAGTGCCCTGCTCGTCACCATCATGGATAATAGTGCATTGTGACAAACACCAGATACAGTACTGGTACTTGCTAAACAGCTGATACCGCACCACAATTTGGTAGGTGGCAGTAGTGCTCTTAAACAACTGTGGATTTCTGTGGTAAAGCACATTGAAATGAAACTACTCTTAATTAAATACAGTTATCATTTAGGCAAAGTGTAATAATTTCATACTTAAAGTACTTTTAGAAAGTTCTATTCTGAATGTGACCGGACTTTTCCTTTAAAGATATGAAAAATCTGATCCTTTATGGATCAACAAAGTTCTGGTTGTCTTAATAAACAAAATGGTTGTGTCTGATCTGCCCTGGCTAGTTGACCAGTGACTTTCACCCTGGAGTCTGTGAGATCAAATCCCTCCTTGGCCCCTTTGTTGTGTACCTTGCCACATCAGGTTAGCCTGTCTTTGATGATTTATTGGACATCACCACACAGCACTCAGATTATATCTAAGCCTTTTTTAAAATTTTACAGACATAATATAGACATCTATTTTTGTGGTTTGAATGGAATAGAATAGAAAATCCCTTTATTGTCCCACAACAGGGAAATTCTGGTGTTTACACCAGCAAAAGATTACAGAAAGAATGGTCACAGAAATATGGACCTTAGAATAACGTATAAGAATAACATAATGGTGAAGAGTTAAAATATAAACAATAAAATTCTGTCTTGTCTTTATCCAAATATGTTGCCACCTTTTCTTTTTAGGGCTTTCAGCACAAAATAGGCCAAATTGCCAATGCAGGGTGTTTTACTCTAGTGAACTTAATATTACTTTTTTACGGAGTGACATAAAAAGAGCGAAGATCCCGGTGGAAAAAGGGTCCCAGCATTCTTGCGCAGCGTTTTCTTCTAGCTGGTCCAGCTTCACGAGTCGTTTTCCACAATGGCGGTCATTCAAACAAAACAAGCCAGTAAGGTACCAAACACGAAATACTCATAGTGTATAGCGGATGTAGATTTGACCAATTAGATGCCTCCTGTCTGTGGTCACCTACAGTTTTGGAGAGGTGCACCAGAATGTCTGCAGAAGGGGCGGGGGACATCTGTGTTAACTGTAAAACACATGCAGACGACCTGGTTTCTGTGTATAAATCAGCTTTTAGTGTTGGCATCCAGTAGATCCAGTGACTCAAAGTAACATTTTTAGTAGTTCATCTTGCTGCCAGAGAGATGCTGGCTCAACTCCCAGTTCCTGTCTCTTTAGACAAGACACTTTAATTGCATTGCCTACT